ACCACTAGTATTACTACAAAACATCAGAGTTAGCCTGTCTTTCATAGGCTTGTGTCCTGGGAGTGCCTTTTCCGCCTGAGTAATGTAGGTCCTGTTTGGCATTTTCTTCCAACACAGGCTTGTTTCATCACAACTGAGCACTTGTTGGGGTTTTAATTTTTCAGCCTCTATGTACCCCTTGAAGTCCTGAATATATTATTCAGCCGCTTTTTTGTCAGAACTGGCAGCCTCACCATGCCTTTTCACACTGTGTATGCAACTACGATTCTTAAATTTCTCAAATCAACCTTTGCTGGCCTTAAATTCACCAATATGAGCACTAGTTCCAAGCATTTTCTTAACGAGATCATCATGCAACTGCCTTGCCTTTTCACATATAACTGACTACGAAACACTATCTCTTGATAATTGTTTCTCGTTGATCCACGACAACAACAATCTCTCAACATCCACGTGTTAAAATGATAATAATTACATAAGACTGACCCTGAATCGACAATAAATCACACTCACATAACACAACCAACACAGAGTCGTAATGGTACGGAATGCAATCCCCACACTGTATACATTTCACAAAATACATTAACACTAAATACTCGCAGTACCAAACACAAATAAATTTCACATTAGACAAAAACACTTAGACGTAAATTGGAATATATTTCCCTAAATCTAATAATAACAATTTACAATAGGCTCTATAACCTAACTAATATAATAAGTCTAAGGCCAATATAAAACAAATCTCGGCCTCATATGCCTTACAATACTCTCTCAGGAAATATCACGTAACATCAACAACTTACAATTGACGTCCATAAACTAACATTTAAACATGTAAAAGAATCGTAAACATATTAGAAGAACGTAAAAGATATGTAGCTGATTTATCCTTGAAACATGCTGCAAATTATTCTCATCTACACATTCACAGAATCACAGAAGCCTTGCAACCCAAAACAAAGCAGCCCCATTGCCCACACTGGAGTCCCTTGCTTTCCAGGCAAGGGCTTCATTATACCTGGAGTATACCTGAAAAGTGTTTTGGGGGTCAGCGCCCCACGGCCCGGTCTGTGACCAGGCCTCATAGTGGCTCAAGGCCCGACCAACCAGGCTGTTACTGTTGACCGCACGCAACCCGACGTACGAACCACAGCCCGGCTGGTCAGGTACTGACTTTAGGGGCCTGTCCAGAGCCTTCTTGAAGACAGTCAGGGGTCTATTGGTAATCCCTCTAATGTATACTGGGAGGCAGTTGAACAGTCTTGGGCCCTTGACACTTACTGTGTTGTCTCTTATCGTGCTAGTGGCGCCCTTGCTTTTCACTAGGGGGATGTTGAATCGTCTGCCGAATCTTTTGCTTTCATAGAGAGTGATTTTCGTTTGCCAGTTTCGTACTAATCCTTCTAAGATTTTCTGAGTGTATTAATCAAGTATCTCACCCGCCTGCGTTCTAGAAAGTACAGGTTGAGGAACTTCAAGCGATCCCAGTAACTGAGGTGTTTTATCGCACTTAATGTGCCGTGAAGGTTCTCTGTACGTTTTCTAGTTCAGCAAATTTCACCTGCCTTGAAAGGTGCTGTTAGTGTGCAGCAATATTCCAGTCTAGATAGAACAAGCGATCTGAAGAGTGTCATCATGTGCTTGGCCTCCCTAGTTTTGAAGGTTCTCATTATCCAACCTGTCATTTTTCTAGCAGATGCGATTGATGCAATGCTGTGGTCTTTTAAAGTGAGATCCTTTGGCAATATCACTCACAGGTCTATTACATTAGTTTTTCACTCCATTGTATGGTAGGAATTTATTTTATACTCCGATATAGTTTTAATTTCCTAACGTTTTCCAGGTCTGAGTAATTGAGATTTCTCATCATTGAAATTCATATTGTTTCTGTGGCCCTTTTAAAGATTTGGCTGCTGTCCGCCTGAAGTCTTGCAGTGTCTTCAATGGAGAACACTGTCATGCAAATTCGGTTGTCATCTGCAAAGGAAGACACGGTGCTGTGGCTTACATCTCTATGTCAGATATGAGGATGAGGAACAGGATGGGAGCGAGTACTGTGTCATGTGTAACAGAGCTTTTCACCGTAGCTGCCTCAGACTTTACTCTGTTTACTACTGCACTTCGTGTTCTATATGTTAGAAAATTATAGATCCATCTACCAACTTTTCCTGTTATTCTTTTATCACGCATTTTGTGTGCTATCACACCATGGTCACACTTATCAAAGGGTTTTGTAAAGTCTGTGTATTGTACATCTGCGTTTTGTTTGTCTTCTAGAGCATCTAGGACCTTGTCATAGTGGTCCAGTAGTTGGACCACTATGACTATGACCACTCTGACAACCTTCCCTAGTACAAGCTTAAATCCCTTAATACTAACACCACTCTACTTCCAGACACTATCACTAACCCTCGAGTTAGCCATGTCGGAAACCTTCATATTACCCACAAAAGTATTTTCGATGTAATGCCGGATCAGCTACTCACAAACTCCACAAGAATCATTAGCAACCCCGGTAAGGGTGAGGCTCGAACTTATGGCAAGTGAGTCACAAAACTAAATGCCAGTGCATGATTTGTTTGCAATCGTGTTATTACAATTATTTGGTGAACCATTATCAACATCCTTCCAATATAATAATACTCTGTCCGAAGAATGCCGTATGATTTGTCTCTCCCTCAGAGCGATGAGCAATGCAACAAAACCTGCCCAGATGCGCCTCCAGTTATACAAAAAGTATAACGAACTACTTGGAAACTTAAATTCCTGTCAAAACATCATATTAAACCCTGATCTTATCCTGCCCAGTTCTGCCACAGACATCATCACCCTCAACATATCAGACTGTCTCTCAAATCTATTACCATGATTTTTTCAGACAACCTACACTCTATCCAGACACTCATCTTAGAAGAGCCCTACATGCAACATTGCTTCTTTACATAAACACAAAACATACGTTTGTGTAAATTTAATAGGCCCAAACCATCCCTTCTTTCTGGAGTGTGAGCGGCTCCCTTCGCAATCATTCATACTTAGATCACTAAAATCAGAAAACCCTATTTTAGATCCTACGCAACACCACACTAGTTAAAAGTAAATATTAGAGACACGAATACCACGACTATGAAGAAGGGCATTAACGGTAATGGCGCTTTGTTAGATAATTGACTGATAAGTTGTGTTTCCCTGTAAGCCGTAAGATATGCTATACTGCACCTTCTGAGAATTTACTATCATCACCGCCTTCCTGCTGCTTGTGTACGACTAACCCACTCCTCAAGACCTAAGATCTTGGATTTATCAACATTCATGATTATCTCTACGCTTATCCAAACTTCCCTACCGCCCCTACAAGCACTTCAAGTCTAGTATGTTCATTCATCAATAACGTACTATTGTTGCTTACCCTAAAGCCTCTGGAAAAATTCTCCCTCCTACTCTCATTACCCCACTAGAAACCCTGTCCCTCACTATCCTATAGACCTAGTCCTGCACATATGCGAAAAGCATCTAAGACAATGGAAAACCCTGTCTTTAACCTCTACACATGAACACAGCCCCTATACAACCATTAACCTTGACTATAGCCACTAGAGGAGGACGGGGCCTTACCTATATTTCTAGTCTCCCTAATCTTAACAACTCTATGCATTCCTTAGACATCAAACTTACTGTTAGTGAAAGTAATACCTATCGTAGAAATCCAGTTTGACCTCTCTTGCTACTGATGATTCAGGAGTCTACTACACATCCTGTTATTTAGTCCTCTCCAATACTTTGCAGAAACTGGCCACTCTCTTTGTAACAGACTTTAAGAGAACAAATGAAGTGTTAGGCTAGCCAGCACTAACGATTCTCTTTTTTGTCATGTTTTCTCTCATTCTCCTATGTGAGGGTTATTTGTCTATTACTTTAGTCACGGTATTGTGCTATATTATTCATTATACTACTACCTCTTGTTCTAGTCACACCATTTTCCCCATCTTTTCGTATATGTACTGGATCCCATCCTATGGCGCTTCTGTGTGACTAGTTAATAGTCCAAGTCGGACTGAAAGGTCGTCGGTTTATTTATGTATTTTTCCAGACATGTTATTGCGCCTTTTTATTCTACACGTATCACAGGTGCGATAGAGTTATCCAGGGACTTCACATCAGCCTCATCACACTCCTGAACCACAGGCACATCCGCAGTCACTGAAGGCAGAGGTTCTCTCTGTAATGGAAAATATATATCAACGCCTGATTCAGTACATTATATAAGCCAGGAGCCTAGGAGCCTTCTAGTGTGGGAGAACACAAATCTAAGACTAACATAGGGAGGCGCGCCGCTGACCTGCATAGGACACCATCAATTGAGACCCATATTGTGGTAAAATAATATAAGACAACACAGGGTACTGCAATAACATTATAAGAGAGAGTATGCACCCTTAGGCAAAAGGTTGGGCTACATATACAGTACCATTGCGACAGACTACCTCCTGTAGGTCAGTTCATCTGCCTAAAATGAAATATTATTGAATTTCGTTAATGTGTATTGTTTTGATACATCCGCAAGGCGCGCACTAATAAACTTGTTGACCTCCACTACAACATTTTGCAGCTTGTCAACCACCGCGTCAAGTACTTTATCAGAAAACAGTTTGAGAGAAAAAAATTGCGTCTTTCAAACCGACACAGAGATCTTCGTCTTATATCTTCAACGTGTTCTAGCTTATTTTAAGGCAGCAACACATTAGACATTCGCGGTGTGTTATCTCCCCTCAGTAACTCATGGCTGACCGTGCTGACGCATTTTCTCAAGTCCAAGGCCATGGTGTTCACGGGCAAACTACCCTTACAAAACTTAGGAGTTCCGAGAACTTGTTCACCCAGACCAATCTCTAGGTTGCAAATAAACTTAAAAATTTGCTTATCATAAGATAACGTGTATGAAAAATCGTTAGTTGGATGAGCATTCAATGATAATTCTGATAATGCAATCCCGAGTGAATCCAAGAATTAGTTGGCGACCTGATCAGGAAGTGACAAGACCTCACATACTAAGGTACCTGTTGAGGTTAATTTCCAGACAGATTCCGTACATTGTCCCTACGACTTCTGTGTAATATTACAGATTTTATTTGAATTACTTCACTCTCCATTGAACTTAATATAATTCCTCAACCGCCGGAGAGAACTTAAGAATAAGAATTTCGTTCTGATTAGTGCAGGCGTATTTGCATGTGTGTACTCACCTAATTTTGGTTGCAGGGATCGAGTCATAGCTCCTGGCCCCGCCTCTTCACTGGTCGATACAAGGTCCTCTCTCTCCCTGCAAAATGAGCTTTATCGTAACTCACGAAATCGTAATGACACGATTGCAAACAAACCATACCACGGGCGGGGTTTTAACCCCGCCCGTGGTATGGTGAGCTTCATCATGCTTCGTTTAAAAACTATGTATGGATTCTGCCGCCACTACGTCACTTTCCAGATTATTCCACTTCTTGACAATCTATGGCTGAAGAAATACTTCCTAACATCCCACTGACTCGTCTGAGTCTTCAGCTTCCGAATGTGACCCCTTGTTATTGTGTCCCATCTCTGGAGCATCCTATCTTTGTCCACCTTGTCATTTCCTCGCAGTATTTTATATATCGTTATCATGTCCCCTCCATCCCTCCTGTCCTCCGGTTTCGTCAGGCCGATTTCCCTTAACCTCTTCTCGTAGGGCAGGCCCCTTAGCTCCGAGACTAGCCTTACTGCAAATCTTTGCACTTTCTCTAATTTCTTGACGTACTTGACCAGGTGTAGGTTCCAGACTGGTGCTGCATACTCCTTACTGAGGTATCGGAACACTATCCTCAGGTTTACCAGTCGCCCATATGCTGCAGCAGTTATCTGGCTGATGTGCGCCTCAGGAGATGTGCTCGGTATAATACTCACCCCATGATCCTTTTTCTTGAGTGAAATTTGCAGTCTTTGGCCCCCTAGCCTGTACTCTGTCTAGGTCCCTTTGTAGTCCTGTCTGATCCTCATCCGATTGAATTATCATCACTAACTTCACATCATCTGCAAACAGGGACACATATGAGTCTATCCCTTCCAGCAAGGTGTGTGTGTGTGTGTGTACTCACCTAGTTGTGGCTGCAGGGGTCGAGTCATAGCTCCTGGCCTCGCCTCTTCCCTGGCTTCTACTCGGTCACTCTCCCTGCACCATGAGCTTTACCATACCTCTGCTTAAAGCTGTGAAAGGGTCCTGCCTCCACTACATAGATTCCCAAACTATTCCACTTCCTGACTACTCAGTGACTGAAGAAATATTTCTAACATCCCTGGGATTCATCTGTGTCTTCAATTTCCAACTGTGTCCCCTTGTTGCTGTGTCCCATCTCTGGAACATTCTGTCTCTGTCCACCTTGTCAATTTCTCTCAGTATTTTATATGTCTTTTTATGTCCGCCCTATCTCTCCTGTCCTCCAGTGTCGTCAGGTCGATTTCCCTTAACCTCTCCTCGTAGGACATACCCCTTAGCTCTGGGACTAGTCTTGTTGCAAACCTTTGCACTTTCTCTAGATCTTCTTCACATGCTTGGCTAGGTGTGGGTTCCAAACTGGTGTCGCATACTCCAATATGGGCCTAACGTACACAGTGTACGGGGTCCTGAACGGTTCCTTATTAAGATGTCGGAATGCTGTTCTTAGGTTTACTAGGCGCCCATATGTTTTGTTTTTTCTTTTTTTTTTTTTTTACACAGGGTTTGACAAGGTTAAGGATCCCTAGCTTTATTGACAAGCTATTTACAGGTTAAAGATTCCTAACTTTATTGGCAAGCTAAGAGTTGTTACTTACATCAGCTCATTTGAAAGCATTTTTATAGTTATGAGACATACAAGTAGGGAACAGGATGAAACTGGAGCCATCTGTGGGACAGCATTTTCATTTGATCAACTGACTTTATCTCGTTGACATCATCATGCTGTACGAATGTGTTCCATACTCGAGTCATCCTGGGTATATAGGATCTCAGATGGAGTGATGTTCTGTAGAATGGTACAGCCAGAGTGAAGTTGCAGCTTTCTGCCCGTCTTGTGGTATAAAAGCTTGTTTCACGCTGTCCTCGAAGTGGATCCAAGTGTGGTACTTTGACAATATTGGCCTTGTACATAACAGTAAGGCCACCCACATCCCTCCTATGTTGAAGGCTCTGCTGAAATGACAGATCTATCCAGGATGGGTCCAGGCGAGAGATGAGACGTCTTGCTCTGTTCTCTACTCTGTCAAGCAGTCGCAGATGAGAGGGGGGGGGGGGCAGGCAAACCAAGAAAGTGGAGCATACTCAAGGTGTGAGCGTACTTGTGCCTCGTACAGAATCTTGCAACCCCTACTGTCAAGCAGATGCGAGATACGACGAAGTGGCTGCCTTGTTTGCAAGATTTACAACATGGTTCTTCATGGTTAGTTTGGAGTCAGATTTCACCCAAAGGATATCAACTTCTTCTCCAGGTGCCAACACCCTCCCATTCATCCTTACTACTGCACCAGCATTACCATCATAGTGCCTAGAGACGATCATCATTTGCTGCAGCTGTTATCTGGTTGATGTGCGCCCCAGATATGCCTGGTGTTATGCTCACCCTAAGATCGTTTTCCTTAAGTGAGGTTTGTAGTCTCTGTTCCCCTAGATTGTACTCAGTCTGCGGTCTTCTTTGCCCTTCTTCAATCTTCATGACTTTGCACTTGAAGGGGTTGAACTCCAGGAGCCAATTGCTGAACCAGGCCTGCAGCCTGTCCAGATCTCTTTGTAGTTCTGCCTGGTCTTAGTCCGATTGAATTCTTCTCATCAACTTCACATCATCTGCAAACAGGGACACTTCGGAGTCTATTCCTTCCGTCATGTCTTTCACAAATACCAGAAACAGCACTGGTCTTAGGGCTGACCCCTACTTGTCACAGGCGCTCACTCTGACACCTCGCCACGTAACATGACTCGCTGATGTCTTCCTGACAAGTATTCCTTGATCCCTTGTAGTGCCTTCCCTGTTATCCCTGCCTGGTCCTCCAGCTTTTGCACTAATCTCTAGTATGGAACTGTGTCAAACGCCTTCTTACAGTCCAAGGAAATGCAATTTACCCACCCCTCTCTCTCTTGTCTTACTGCTGTCACCCTGTCATAGAACTCCACTAGGTTTGTGACACATGATTTCCCGTCCCTGAAACCGTGGTGGTTGTTGTCGATGAGCTCATTTCTTTCCAGGTGTTGCACCACTCTTCTCCTGATAATCTTCTCCATGACTTTGCATACTATACATGTCAGTGACACTGGTCTATAGTTTAATGCTTCATGTCTGTCTCCTTTTCTAAAAATTGGGACTACATTTGCTGTCTTCCATACCTCAGGTAATCTCCCTGTGTGTACTCACCTAATTGCACTCACCTAATTGTGGTTGCAGGGGTCAAGACTCGGCTCCTGGCCCAGCCTCTTCACTGATCGCTACTAGGTCCTCTCTCTCTCTGCTTCCTGAGCTTTGTCATACCTCTTCTTAAAACTATGTATGGTTCCTGCCTCCACTACTTCACTTGTGTGTGTGTGTGTGTGTGTGTGTGTGTGTGTGTGTGTGTGTGTGTGTACTCACCTATTTGTGGTTGCAGGGGTCGAGTCTTAGCTTCTGGTCCCGCCTCTTCACCGGTTGCTACTGGGTCCTCTCTCTCCCCGCTCCATGAGTTTTATCAAACCTCGTCTTAAAACTATGTATGGTTCCTGCCTCCACTACATCACTTTCTAGGCTATTCCACTGTCTGACAACTCTATGACTGAAGAAATACTTCCTAATAACTCTCTGACTCATCTGTGTCTTCAACTTCCAATTGTGACCTCTTGTTTCTGTGTCCCCTCTCTGGAACATCCTGTCTTTCCCCACCTTGTCTATTACGCGCAGTATTTTATATGTCGTTATCATGTCTCCCCTGATCCTCCTGTCTTCTAGTGTCGTCAGGCCGATTTCCCTTAACCTTTCTTCATAAGTCATTCCCCTTAGCTCTGGAACTAATCTTGTCGGAAACCTTTGCACTTTCTCTAGTTTCTTGACGTGCTTTATCAAGTGCGGGTTCCAAACAGGTGCTGCATACTCCAGTATGGGCCTGACGTACACGGTGTAGAGTGTCTTGAACGATTCCTTATTAAGGTATCGGAACGCTGTTCTCAGGTTTGCCAGGCGCCCATATGCTGCAGCAGTTACCTGGTTGATGTGTGCTTCCGGAGACATGCTCGGTGTTATACTCACTCCAAGATATTTCTCCTTGAGTGAGGTTTGCAGTCTTTGGCCACCTAGCCTATACTCTGTCTGCAGTCTTCTGTGCCCTTCCCCTATCTTCATGACTTTGCATTTGGCGGGATTAAATTCGAGAAGCAAGTTGCTGGACCAAGTGTCCAGTCTGTCCAGGTCTCTTTGAAGTCCTGCCCGGTCCTCATCTGATTTACTTCTCCTCATTAACTTCACATCGTCTGCGAATAGGGACACTTCTGAGTCTATCTCTTCCATCATGTCGTTCACATATACCAAAAATAGCACTGGTTCTAGGACCGACCCCTGTGGGACCCTGCTCGTCACAGGTGCCCACTGTGATACATCATTACGTACCATGACTCGTTGTTGTCTCCCTGTCAGGTATTCTCTGATCCATTGCAGTGCCCTTCCTGTTATATGAGCCTGATCCTCCAGCTTCTGCACTAATCTCTTGTGAGGAACTGTGTCAAAGGCCTTCTTGCAGTCCAAGAAGATGCAATCAACACACCCCTCTCTCTCGTGTCTTACTTCTGTTATTTTATCATAAAACTTCTGAAGGTTTGTGACACAGGACTTTCCTTGCATGAATCCATGCTGGTTGGCGTTTATACTCTTATTCCGTTCCAGGTGCTCCACCACTCTACTCCTGATAATCTTCTCCATAACTTTGCATACTATACACGTCAGTGTCACAGGTCTATAGTGTAGTGCCTCTTTTCTGTCTCCTTTTTTAAAAATGGGAACCACATTTGCCGTCTTCCATACCTCAGGTAGTTGC